TGCCCCACACAACACATTTCCTCATCAGTAATGGTGACAAGACAGTAACTTGATATGGCTGAGTTTCTTTCAGAAGGAGGGAATTATGCAATGTTCCATAAGGAGAAATCATAATTTCAAGGATGTTGTTTAAAAAGCCCCCTTGATTACTCTTAATGCACTTCTCCTGGGGTACATGTCCCTCTTTTCCCCTACTTTCCCAACCGTGAGTCAAGAATTACTGCCTTATTATGTTTTTTTTTAAGATTTTATTTATTTATTTGAGAAAGAGAGAGAGAGAGCATGGGTGCAAAAGAGAGGGGTGGAGGGGAGAGGGAGATGGAGAAGCAGACTCCCCACTTTGCAGGGAGCCCATGTGCACAGGGCTCCATCCCCAGACCCTGGGATCATGACCTGAGCTGAAGGCAGGTGCTTAACCAACTGGGCCACCCAGGTGTCTGGAGAATTGCTGCCTTATTGGAATGACCTGCTTGTTATTTAAGTTTTGTTTTGTTTAGCTATTTCCATGAGATTAGCCATTTGTAAATAACATCTGGAAATTCTACATCTTAGTTTGGGTTTCCCCAAAGCAGAGTTTAAGAATCTTGGGAGCACATATTTTATTAGGGAGATAGTCCCAGGGAGCAGGAAGAAAAAAGCCAATAGATGAGTTTGTTATTGAGGTTACACTATGGGCAATAAAGGCTTGGTTTAATCAGAACCTCTGGAAAAGTAAACATATGTTAGAACTGTCGCTGTGCAGGATGAATGAGTGTAGCACTTATCCACTGACTTCCATTCCTATCGTTTGCAACTTACACTAGGGATATTAACACACTTCACCCTCCTACCACTCCCAGGCTGCACTTGTGTGGACTGACTACCCCATGACATCAGAAAACCCTATCTATCCACAGTGCCCAGCAGAAAGGCCTATGGGATGGATACTGACAGAGCAAGGTGAGTCTGAGATTACTCAGGAGTGTCCACTGTGTGTGCAGCTAAAGTCAAAGGTAGAATGAGGGGGAGTGATATTAGGGGGAGAGGTGTGTGTGCCAGAGGTATCTGCTAGAGCCATGGCTTGTGATCTGAAGTGAGTTAATGCTTAACAGCTTGGTATTTAGACCCCATGGTTATAATCAAGGCATTTGGTTGTGGATTTTTTTTTTAAGATTTATTTGTTTATTTGAGAGAGAAAGATCACACTGTGGGGTGGGGAAGAGGGAGAGGGTGAGAGAGGATCTCAAGCAGGCTCCCTGCTGACTGTGGAGCTGGACATGGGGCTTGATCCCAAGACCCTGAGATCATGACCTAAGCAGAAATCAAGAGCTGGATGCTCAATGACTGAGTCACCCAGGCACCCCTGTTTGTGGACTTTAATTGAAGATGACATTTAAAATCAGTAATAATCCAAGGTTATAAAGTGAAGACTAATATCACGGTAGCCATATTAACCATATACGTGTATAATTTAAGCCCTTGGATTTTTTTTCTCTCTCTTCTTGCTGTTTAACTTTCAAATTTCTCTTCTGTATGCTATGATCTCTACTGAAGGGTAGGGTTGAGAAAACAAGGTGGTAGAAATAGAATCTGTCAAATATTTCCACTTGTTAGGAACTCTTCAAAAAGTCCTTATGGAATAAGAGGCTGAGATTATTGGCTAAAATGGGATTTGGGGATTACATGTGATTTTAATTTCTCTACACTCTCCAATTTCTATAATTAATTGGGACATGACTCACAATCCTGAGTAGCACGCCTAGAACACAGGAGAGAAAGATGTATCTTCTGCTTCTTACTTTTGGGGCTGCATTTCCCGTGTGTAACGGGCACGGTGGGTGAAGGATACAGAGATGGTATGGTGTGGTGAAAACTGCAAAGGGTTTGTGAGTAAGTCTGCCCCTTGCAGCTATGAGACCCTGCTGAGCCTCAGTTTCCACGACTCTATGAGCTGATAAGCTTCCTTGCAGAGCTATTGCAAGGATTAAGCATTATTATGCAATGTGTTTGACATATCAAAACTGCATTGTAAAGTCAATTAATAAACAAATAAAAAATCTTGGTTCATTTGATATCCCATTTAGACTTAGTTTCTGGGTAAAGCTTACATTTACTGAAACAAACTGCTTTGACTCATTTAGACTGAATCTTTTAAGATAAAATCAGAAAATCCCTTGGGTTGATACTGAGCTGAAAATATAGGTGCCAAGAGGCAAGCATATTCCCCATTTTATCCACCCCAAGAAAAAAGAATAGTCTCCCAGTGACCAGAATAACTGCTCCCAGACTGCAGTAAGTGGTCCCAGAGCACTCCCCACTCCTTTGGCTACTGCTCACATTATGGGCAGAAGTTGAGTGGCAGGTCCCAAGCGAGATGGACAGGACAACCCTTGGTGGTCCCTCATTATCCCCAGCCATTGGATCCATCACGTGGGAGGATTTTGATTTGGTCTGCAGCCCATAGTAGATTTCTCCCAACAGCAACTGGTTTTCAAATCTGGGGTACCTGAAGACTTTCCAAGAGGTACACAGCCATGCATAGATTTAAAGGAACTCATTTCCCATTCTCAACTTTCATATGTATCCTTTCTAAAATTGAGTAGAGGTGGTCTGAAAACAAGACTGTTTCTCTCTTCCTCATTCCCTTTCACAGTCTTCCTTCTCCTACTTTAGAGAAACCTTTATTTCCTACCCATCCCAAATAATGGGATGGTTCATTGCTCAGGATGTAAAAACTTCCGTGGTGCCAAGTAAAGGGACAGTTAGAAATAAAGTCCTTTTCTAAAGGACCTTGTCTTTTCCATACTCCAGATATTGCCAAAGAAACGTTCTCTGCTGAGGGAGATCCCTGTGACCTTTGATAAGGCATGATAAAGGCAGAGTCTTATTTCATGATAAAACTGGGAATATTGTCTATCTGTAGTGGATTGTTGTCATAGAGACATGTCTCAGCATGTTTATTTTGAATTAATAAATGAAGTCAGATATGTTCGGGCAGAAAGTAAGCCTGCTTTGGCTGACTAGTTTGATACCAAGGACTATTTATATGGGAGACATTTTCCATTAATAAGTGAGTTAAGTGTATAGCTCCAAAGTTGTTTTATTTTAAAATAGATTTAAAATGTGTGATAATATTAAAGCAGTTAATAAAACATATTATATTGAAAAAGATCTAGTGAAAGAAGCAGTAATTCCTGACATTTTATGTATGTATCAGGTTAAACAAAGCGCCCTTAAGTGAAAGAGTAAAATGCACAAATGACAGTCACTTGCTTAATCTTTGTAGAGACTTTTTGATATACTTCTCAACATTTCAGAAAGTGGGTGGCTGACTGGGTAACACATCCTTTTGCAAGTTGGGTGGTTCAACTCTCTGCTTTCAGTAAAATTGAAGGAAGACCTAACTGAACTGTCAGTTCTCAGACATTAAAAATAATTTGTGGTGATAGTAAACTTTGTTATTTTTGATATAAGAATCAGAAAGATCTCAAATAAATGAGAGCAGTACTTCTAAAGCATATCTATTTGTCTTCCCTGCATGCCTATCTATGTATTTATGTGAGCAAGGTATCTCAGCAATTACACTGAAAACAAGGGTAAGTAGAAATAGAATTGCTGCTGTAACGTCTTACTCTAGCAAAAAGTAATGTTCATTCATGGAGCATCAGCTAATTGAGAAAAGCAGCTTCATTTATCTCACTGAAAGACACATTTTTAATAAAATTTTATTTTTTTGCTTGATGATTCTTTGTCAAGATTTGCAATATGTTGATATTTTGTGATTAAAGAGGTTTATGTTAGTATAAAATTCTGTGGGCAAAATAGAATGAAAATATGAGTTCAAAGAGGAAAAAGGAATCATGTAAAATATGCATCTATAAATATGATGAATAGTTTAAATGTTAACTTAAAAATGTGTTGAGGGGGCGCATTAGTTTTCAAATTTTATTACAGGACATTCAAGTGAAAAAAACACACCATTGCAATAGGGGAGCTGCCTATAGTCCTTGGGAATACTATGTTCCTTGTTGGTGTGGGGATGAGGGAGAGAGGTGAGAGGTGCACAGTGCCTCTCGAAGAATCTGTCTGGTGACTGGTGTCACGAGATTTTGATTTGTAGTGTAGGCTTCCTTGGAATTTGAAATTCTGGATTAATATTAGAACCAGCCTTGTGCTTTAACCTGAAATAGGCCTTCTCTGCCATTTTAGGTCCTCTCTGGTTCAGGTCTATACTTTCTTAAAGACATCTCCCTCTCTGAAGTCATCCCTGATATATATTTCTGTTGTGTGGGTTCCCATAGCTATCACTTTAATCAAGATTCTGTGAAAGCATTTATTTCGTTTGTTCATTCATTCATTCATTCAAGAACCATGTGTGCCAGGTACTGCGTAGGGAGCTGAATATGCCATTCTGAGCAAAACAAGCATGGGCTCCATCCTCATGGAGCTGATATTTCAGTGGAAATAGAGGAACAATGAAAGTAAATAATTATACAAATAGATGATTAAAGATCATAACAAGTACTACGAATGCAAAGAACATGGTGATTAATGACAGGAAGAACAGGGAGTGCTTGGTTCTAATTGAATAAACAGGACAAATTCTTTGAGGAGGTAACAGTTACACTGAAATCAGAAGTAGGAGAGCAACCTGCCATGCTAAAAATGGTGAAATGGTGTTCCAGTTAGTGAGAATAATGGGTGGGGGTGAGGTGGGAGACCAACTAGTGATGCGCAAGGACAGAAAAAAGCAGGGCCCCCCAAATATTCATAAGCTCAGATTTTATTCTCGGTGCGGTGGAAATCCATCGAAAGACTTCTAGCAAGTTTTATTTGTTTTTAAAATATAATTTGGGCTGATGTCTGAAGACTTGACTGGAGTAGGCAAGACAGAAACAGGGAAATCATTTTAGAGGTGTATCAGCCAGATTAGGCAAGGCTATGCAGTAATAACCCCTAAATCTTTGGGGCTTATATCAACAAAATTGTATTTTTTCACTCATGCTACACATCTCTTACAGGTCGCCAGGAGCCCTACTCCCTATCCACTCACTCCAGGATCTGGCCAGATGGAGCAGCCCCACCATCTTGAAAATTGATGGTCACACAGCAGAAAAAGGAACACAGTAAACCAGGTCCTGGTTCTTAAAACATCTGCCTAGACAAGTCACCTGCCCCTTCTACCTGTATTTTATTGTCCTTATCAAATTATATGGTCACCCCTGATTTCAACATAGATGGAATGTACCCCCTGCAGGAGGGGCAGTGTGGGAAAAGAAAATGAATATCTGGTGGACGGTTTTACGAGGTACTGCTGGAGGCTATTATTGTAGTCCAAACAAGACGAGATGGGACGTTTGATCGAAGTGATGCTAGTCAAGACCGGGACAAATGGGCAGATTTGAGGTTATTTTTGGAGTTCTTTTCTGGATATGGAAATGGCTTGACTCCGATGGAGGTTTGTTGTTGTTGTTGTTGTTGTTGTTGTTGTTTGGTCACTCTCATTAGACTGTGAACCTCATGAGGCAAGCCATGATATTCATCTCCATTTATCCAAGGCCAAGCATAAAATTGTTTACCGAATGAAGGAATGGGATTCACAGATCAAAAACCTGCCTCCTGGATATACTATGGCGTGGAATTTCCCACAGTTGGGGTGAATCTGTTCTGTAGAGGGAGGGAGAAGATTTAAAAAAAAAAATGTTTTACACATAAGAGAAAGCCTCACTCATTGGATTTTCTGCAGGATTGTGAGGGACATCGATTTAGGAAATGGTCCGGGCCACAGCACTGCTCCTTCCTGGGGGGAGAGCCTGACTGGGCCCGTCCTGTTCCATTGCCTCCTGGGACTGACATTTCTTCCATTTCTTCCATCTCCGTCAGCTTCCGATCGCTTTGCACCCCGGGAGGGGGCGGAGGAGTGGCCATCTGCGGCGATGCCTCTGGAGAAAACAGAGTTTAGATACAGCCCATAAATCCAGCCCAGTGAATGACTCCCTTAAACAAAGACAATGGCTGGTGGAGCGGGGGTGGGGGGTGGGGGGAACCCGCCGAAAAGAAATCTTGAAAAATTGCCGCGAGGAGGTCTGCCCTCCAGGTTGCTGCCCTCCCTGCTCCCCTACCCCCCCCCCCGACGCTGCTTGGCCCCGCGGGCCGCTGGTTGCACAAGTGACCTGCTGGGTTTCCAAGAGACCTCCCCACCTCCCCCCCTTCCCCCGACCGCCCCCCCCAGCCTGCTGCGCCTTCGGGAGGCGGTGCTGGGCGCCCCAGCCTCCGCCCCCGGCTGTGGTCCTGGGGGGGGGCAGCCTGCGTTGCGCTAGCACATTCCTTCCCCTCTCGGTGTGGTGGCCCTCTGTCACCCCGCGGGGACCAGCGCCTTCTCTAACACCTGCTCCGGAGCCCCCCCCCCCGGGGTTCATGGCTGGTCCTTGCTGCATCCTGGTCCTCTTGGTTCAACATCAGGGATGGGGGTGAGGGGGGGAGGGATGGTGTTAGCCAAGGTCACTGCGTCCCGGCCCCCGGGGCAGGAAAGGGTGTGCGGCTCGCGCCCCGGGGGCGGAGGGGTGGGGGGGGCGGTGGAGGAGCCCCATCCCTGTCCGGGAGACCACAGGCCGGGAACGTGCTCCTGGCACAGACGTGGGCTCAGCTCCGGGCGCAGGCCTGGCCCGAGGCTTCAGTCCCGGGGCTTCCAGGAGCCGGCTCCCTGCGGGGGGGGGGGGGGGAGCGGGGGGCGGTGCCGGGGTCAGATCCGGCCGCTCCGAGGAAGAACTCTCGCATCCCCGAGGCTAACATGCCACCGCCGGTGGTTTATTGCTCAGAGCTCCGGTCCCACCCCGGCGCCCACCCCACCGAGCCTCCTGTTGAGCATGCATCCCCCTGGGAGCATGCATCCCCTCAAGCCGCCGGCACCTTCCAGGAAGGGAGGCGGTTCACGGTTAGCCGGGCCTCAGGCCCAGGGCAGGGACAGGCCGCAGCAAAAGGAGAACCGGGGTTCCGGAGGGAGGAGGGTCCTGAAACAAGGACGAGAGGAAGAGGAAGGGAAGGGGAGGTAGAGGCTCTCACCAAGTCTTGGGTGATGGTGACAGTGGAGGATCACCCAGGCCCCACGGTCCCGGTTTGCTGCCCCGGGCCAGGTCCCCGAGGAGCTGAAAGGAATCACCCCCGGAGGGAGCCCCGAAAGTGTTTCTTAACAAACAGCCAGCTTTGGATATCCACTTTACTGATGCGGATATTCAAATTGCTGATTTCTTTCTCTTTTTTTTCCCTCCACTGTGCCGATCTCTCCAAGCCCCGACCTGCCCGAGTCATTCTAGTGCAGGGCCGGGGGGCAGGAAGACTGTGTCTACCTGGGAAGCCAGGGCTCTGGGAAGACACAGGTGCAGCAGCTGCAGGGGCCCCAAGCTTCTGGGCCTGGCCGGTGACTTTCCTGCTCAGCAGGCCTTCCGGCAAATGCACATTCAGGTCCCCATCTGCCAACAGTCACAAGATTCAGAGAGCCACGGCCTCGACAGCCCAGCCTGCCTCACCCTCCCGTCTGTTCTCTGAATGGGCAAACCTCACACAGCAGCATTGCCTGATTCTCCCTGGGCACCTGTGTGGTAGAGGCAGAGGGCGCTGGTGTTGGACTGAGTCATGTTCTGGGGCACTCTGGGCAGGGCATGGAGGTGCCAAGGAGGCCAGGGCCCCGCCACCCCTCTGGCTTGCTGGGAGGCCCTGAGCCGTTGGTACATGACCACTTGGATCTTCTGGGTGGCGTTATAACCCCTGAGAAATGCCCATTGCTTTGTGGGGAGGTAACCTTAATGCAATGCTTTTCTGCATTCATGTGAGTTTAAAGTCAGCATTCTGTTGAGGAACGAACAAAAAACAAGCAAAACTTGTTTCCAGAATATTCTCCTGTCTCCTACCATCAGTATAACACCTTAATGATTTGCGATACATAAACAAGGAGTGGGATTCAACTGACATGCCAACCAACACCGCTCTCATCATCAGAGCATGAGGAGTAGCAGATACTTTATGCCGTGGTAACTGGCTAGCTATACAGTCCCACAAGCCATAAATGCAAAATCCGCTTCTTCCTCCTCTCCCCACCACAGTGCCCCCTGCATATTAAGTACTGAATTAATGAGTTCATCATTGGGGTCAACTCTGAACTGGGCTGACTTCTCAGCAACCAGTCTCAGGAAAAGCAGGAGGGAGTTGTCTACTCACTGACCTCAGAAGAACGGTTGATAAAAATGTTGATTCCTTTGGTTACTTATGAGTTATAACATGCATATAAATGAGCAGGCTTTATTAGTTGGTGTAGATATCAAATTCTATCTGTAGAAAACAGGCATTTTACTCTAAAAGAGGCTAAACTGGGTTAAAAATGAGCTTCACAATCCTATTAGAACTCGTGTTCATATCTGTCCCCCCAAAAGGGCACTGCCTTCCTTTGAATTGTAGGATCTAGAATTGTAGAGCTCATCAAACCGCCTTCTTTCAGAGATGAAGAGATGGAGGCTCAGAGTGCTAAAGTGGCCTGTGAGTGGCTCTCCAGCTCGGGCCGGCGGAGGGAGAACCGGTGTACGAGACTTATGCTCTTCCAGCCAGCGTTCTGTCTCTGCCATGATTCACAGGATCAGAGTTTCTACGAGCCTCCCAGGCTGGGGAATGTGACTTTTTGTTGTCCTCTTTAAAGCATGCTGTAATAAACAATCTACGGTGATTACTCTTCCCTATAATTCCACATGGGGATTATAAGCCATCCTGTTATTCTGTAGCTGTATCATGCTGGTTTATTATTATATTGAAATGTTTCCTTTAAATACATTAGAGTCATACAGTATTTATTTTAAATAAGAGGGAACTAGCCTCTAGGAGATGTAGTAGTTCCTAAATTAGAAGCTCAGACGTTTTAAATTAGAACAAAAGGCCCTAGGTAAATCTCTGAAGTAGGCCAGCAAGCTTGGTGAACGCATGAGGGAATTTATTGCAAGGTGTCAATAGATTCACGTGTATGTGAAGAACTGATTATAGACTAAACAAATAATATTTCTCACCCATACATCTCCTATGGGTCCACAAGCTTGTATTTGAAACCTTTGGGGCTGCATATGTTTTGGAAGTTAGATATTTCAGGTTTCAGAAGTCAGGTAACAGGATGTATAAACTATATATTAATAGCATTCCCAGGAGTCTGGAACAGCGCCCTATAATCAAGCACCTTAATAATTTTGCAGTTAAATATGGGAATGTTCACTACTAATGGAATAAAAAAAAGACTATCAATAACCTTATGTTAGTTCAGGTCAGGTTTTGCCCCCAAAATGAGTTTGTCATGAACGTATCAAAAAACCTCTATTATAAGGGGTAGTAGAAAGGGAGGCGGGAGGGGGATGGGGTGACTGGGTGGTGGGCACTGAGGAGGGCACCTGACGGGATGACCACTGGGTGTTATACTATATGTTGGCAAATTGAACTTCAATTAAAAAATATATTAAAAAACAAAACAAAAAAACCCCCTCTATTTTTAGTGCTTTATAAAGTCCAGGATTATGGGTGAAGGATTGTAGATCTAAATTTAAATATATGAACATACTAATCATTAAGAGATAAACTTATTAAATGAGTTTCAATATTTAATGTACCTTTTTGTCACTATGTATTTTCTCAATCGGTGGCTAGATACAAAGACAACAACATATATCACACCAGAATTCACAAAATTTTAAGGACTCTTGGGTGTCCTTGGTGGAACCCTAATCCCAATCGCAGCATGGCCCTGGATACCTGCTTCATGGGACCATCTCCTTCCCTAGTGCACAGTTGGAGGGGTGGGAGGGCCAGTGAGGACCTAAGGCTGGAGCCTCATTAGGAAAATCTCTATCCTTTAGGGCAGGGATTCCCAATCTTATTAAATAGGAGGGACTCCTTTTAATTGTACGTGCTCTGGAGCTAGATTTCTGTGTCAAGACTCTTGCTCTGCTGGGACATCTGGGTGGCTCAGTGGTTGAGCATCTGCCTTCGGTTGTTATCCCGGGGTCTAGGGATGGAGCCCCAAATTGGGCTCCCCTGGGGAGCCCGCTTCTCCCTCTGCCTAGGTCTCTGCCTCTCTCTGTGTGTCTCTCATAAATAAATAAAATCTTTTTTTTTTAAATATTATTTATTTATTCATAGAGACACAGAGAGAGAATGAGAGGCAGAGACACAGGCAGAGGTAGAAGCAGGCTCCATGCAGAGAGCCTGACGTGGGACTCGATCCAGGGTCTCCAGGATCACGCCCTGGGCTGCAGGCGGCACTAAACCGCTGCGCCACCGGGGCTGCCCTAAATAAAATCTTAAAAAAAAAAAAAAAAAGATTCTTGCTCTGCTACTTATCTATTGTGTGAACTCAGACAAATCATTTTTACGTCTTTGCACTTCAGCATTCTCCTCAGTTATAAAGGAGGAAGGAAGAGTTCCTATTTTGTAAGAATATCATAGGGACTCATTTTAAGTAAAGCTCTTAGAGGAGTACCAGACGCATAGTAATCTCTCAATAAATCTTGACTATTATTATTACTACTATAGTATTAGCCTACATGTCTACGGTAGGCAGGATAATGCCCCCCCCCACTTCCAGATGTCTACACCCTAATTCCCATAACCTGTTACAGAATACACTGGAGCATACCAGTGTAGACTTAGTTAAGGGCCTTCGAATGAGGACATTATCCTGGATTATCCAAGTGTTCCCAGTGTAATCTCACGAATGTGTAAAAGGGAAAGCTATTCCTGGCTGTGGTAAGAGAAAGAGATGTGACAACAGAAGCAGAGTCAGAGAGAAGCTCCATGGCTAACTTTGAAGATGAGAGAATGGGCCACAAGCAAAATGTGGTGCATCCATAGAATTGAAGATTATTGGTCTGTAAAAGGAAAGAGGTACTGATGCTCGCTACAATATGGGTGGACCTTGAAAACATTATGTTAAGTGAAAGAAGCCAAACACAAAAGGTCACATATTGTATGATTCCATTTATATCAAATGCCTGGAATAGGTAGATCCATAGAAACAGAGGGCAGATTGGGTGGTTCCAAGGGGCTGGCATGAGGGGGAAATGGGGCACAACTGCTGAGAGGGTGTGGGGTATTATCTTTTGAGAGAGAGAAAGAGAGATGGATTTATTAGCACCAAACAAACTTTATGCCATAAATATCACAAAGTGGCAGCCACAAAAAGAAACAAAAGATGCTATTGGAGCTAAACTGGGCTCCTGATTCTGCATTTCCAACCCTCCCCTGACTCTGTGCCTCCTTCTCAAAAAAAAAAAAACCAAAAAAAACCAAAAACAAAAACAAAAAAACACCACAAGGAGGAAAGACACCCAACTAACGAAATCCTGAGGATTCTCATCAATATGTTCCAGCTTCAAGAGAAATAGATTGAGGGGGTGAGTCAGCAATTCCAGGAAAGTTCCAGGAAAAATTCTTGAGAGAAGCCTCAAGGCTTGGCCCTAGGGATTTATTTGTCTGAGGCAGAAAGGGATTCTGGGTTAGTGCATTGAGCTGCAGAAATGAGCTGAAGCCCAGTGGAGTGTACTACACCCCTGATTAAGTGGACTGGGCTCCAGTGAAAAGATAGTTAGCTGCATCTCAGGAGGGAGTGAAACCCTGGGCTCCAAGCAAGGACTCCAGGCCCATTCCAACTGTTCCCATTTCGCATTCTCAAACCTCAAGCTATAGAG